TTTCTCTAATTCGAACCAGCCTTTCTCTCTTTTCTCTCTTCTCTCTTTTCTTCTTTCCTCTCCTACTTCTTGCTGTCTACTTTACTCTACAGTCAACGAACAAGACAGAATTCTATGGCAGGTCAAACTTCAACAAGTATGATAAGCCATTAATGTTATATTATGACAATCAGGCTGCTATCAACATTGCTCACAATCCGGTGCAACATGACAAGACCAAACATATTGAAGTTGACAGACATTTTATCCGAGAAAGAGTGGCTTCTATAGAAGTTTGTCTACCATTCTCTTCTAAAGGACAGTTAGCTGATATCCTTACCAAGGGCATCCCCAAGGCCAAACTTCAGCATGATACTGACAAGCTTGGCATGATTCTAATCTATGCTCAACTTGAAGGGGAGCCTAGAGAGGATGGGCCAAATGGCCCATAGACTGTTTACTTATTTCTTTTGTTTATGTTCTTTGCTATAATGGGCCTCAACATGGGCCATACTTATGTTATGTTTTCTTAAATTATTCGCCCGGTTAAGGGCGTCTCTATAATTACTAAAATTAAGTTAATGAAAAGGGATTAGGGTGTAAGAGAAGATTACATTTCAAAAATCTCTCTCTGAACCATTATTGCCGCCACCTTCTTCTTCCTCTTCTCTCTTCTTGATTCTTTGTTTCTGTTGTTCTCTATCACTTTTCTGCACTTTTTTAATCAGTCTGTTTATTTCAAAAGGTTGTTTTTCTTCTTCCTCCTTCAACCTTCATAAACAATTTTATAGAATGGCCCATTCATTAAAAACAAACTTCTAAGTTCTACACCAAGAACCCCAACATACACCTTTTGACTTACAGACCCAAGTGTTTATTCACAGTCAACAAAAACTAAGCATTCTAGCCCATAGCAAACAGCTTTATGTCACAAATTAGACCATTTAAAGCTCGAATTGAAATTCAATATTCCTTCTTAAAAGTACCAAACTTTCAGAATTCTCATTCTACACCCTCTTCTCTTTTTTTAAAAGAAAATAAGACGGCATCAACATCAACCTCCAAACACTAGGAAAATAACACATAAGCATCAGGCACTAAATTCTAGGATGGTTTCATACACATCCCAACACCTCTGAATAGATTATTTTACTAATGGAAAATAAAATAGAATAACATAATATATGTGATTTACTCTAATGATTTCACAGACCTTCAAGCAAGGATGAATATCAGAACTATCTCTTGACAAGAACCTGAAGCAACAATACTCCACTAAGTTGCGGGCATCATTCCGTACAGACTCAGGAACAAGTTCCTCAAATATTTTCTGCATTATTTTCCCTGTCATTCCATTCATCCTGCATATCAATAATGGAAAAAAAATCAGAGCATAAATTTTTACAAAGTTCAAACAACAGGAAAAATTAATTTGAGATAAATATGTCGGCACTTTCATTCACTAAAGGACAGGTGGAAGAAAAAATAGAAGGCAAAAGAAATAAAATTATGGTTGTTCACATGGTAAGGAAATGCACTTGTTACTGTGCACTGGTAACAAATTGAAGAAATCCCTTTATGGCCTCAAGAAAATCCCCTTGAGCTTGGTTTGACAAATTTCAGACTGCACTTGTTGAGTTTGGCTACACTCAAACACAGTCTGACCATACCCTATTTGTTAAGAGGAGAGGTACTCGGGTTACCTTATTGTTTATGTTGATGATATTGTGGTTACAGGTAGTGATACAAAGGAAGTCCAAGCACTCAAGAGTTTTCTTAATTTAGAATTAAAATTAAGGATTTAGGAGAATTGAGATATTTCTTGGGGATTGAAGTTGCCAAGTATAAAGATGGTATCTTCATCTCCTAGCAGAAGTATGTGTTAGATCTTCTTAGAGAGATTGGAAAACTTGGTGCCAATCTTGTCTATACACCTATTGATGCCAACCATCAGCTTTCAGCCAATTATGGTGAGCTCTTGGCTTGTATTTTCCTAAGTATAGTACCACAGGGGTACTATTGTACTTTTACCCTTTTATTTTTTAGTTGTTGTCGCCCTAGTATATATAACAAAATAGCTGGCACCGCCAGCATGCTTTTTGACTCTCAATCTTTTCTCCTCTCTCTCTTCTCTCTCTCCTCTCTCTTCTCTTCTCTTCCATCACTGCACTGATAACATGGTATCAGAGCAGGACTGTTAGATCCAAAAGAAGAAATCGAGCACAGCTTCCCTGTCTTCTCCATTCGCCAGATCCAGATCCAGATTCATTGAAGATTCAGATCCAGATCCAGATCGAACTGAAGTACTCTCTCTCCCTTCTCCTTTTTTTTTATTCTTTCTGGTCGTGTGCCAGAACAGAACCTATAATAGGTTCAGACTGTTAATGTGAGGCAAGCAGCCCCTTTTCTTTCCTTTTTTGTGGGGTCGGCTGATCCCTGTAAAACTGTAGGTCGTGAGGACCTTTTGTGGGCTACAACAGCAGCTTTTATGGTGAACTGGAGGTCAGAAAGTGACCTGTACTTGCTGTAACAGATTTTGTGTGCTGCAACAGCTTTTATGGTGAACTGGAGGTCAGAAAGTGAACTGTACTTGCTGTAATTGCCTTCCTGTTGATGCGTAGGTCAAGAGATGACCTGTATGCACTGTGGCAACACTTGTGTTAATTCTGTAGGTCAAAGGATGACCTGTTAGTGCTGTTACAGCACCTGTATTTTACAGAAAAGAGGTGTGTTTTCTAAAGACAAAAGGGGTTCTCCTTGGTACCCTGTGTTAGGATATTGTTAAGGCTGTGTACCCCTCTAAGAGTGTTTTATTGAATCTGAAATCATGAGTGATGAAGATTCTACTACATCCAGTGTTTCCTCAATGTCGAATGGAACGAGTGGGGGTGCGGACCTTTCCTTTCCCATGGCTGTTATTCCTCTCAACAGTTTAAATTATTTGGAATGGTCAAGAGGGATCAAGTTATACACTACTGCAAGGGGGAAGATAGGTTATATAAATGAGAGAATAAAGAACCCAATTCTGGGAGTGCTGAATACGGCAGATGGAACCAGGAAAACAGTATGGTTATGTTCTAGATTTTAGTGTCTATGCAACCCCAAATAAGAAGGAATTTATGTGGGCTGAAACGGAAAATGAAATCTAGGAACAGGCAAAATCAACCTTTTCTGAGCTGCATCACTATGCAAAGATTTATCAGTTACAGGCAAAATCGTCCACTTGTAAACAGAGGGAGAGGTGTCTTTCTGTATACTACTCCAACTTGACCTCTTTCTAGAATGAGCTAGATCATTATCAGTGTGGACTGGAAGTGTGATAAAGATGCAAAGTTATACAAGAAACTTGTATCTTAGCAGAGTTCAGATCCTAGGTAGCAAGGATCTTCCCTCCGTCCAGGAAGTTTATGCTCTTGTACTATCAGAAGAAAGTAGAAGGAACTTGATGAACAGTTCTGGAGGGGATGCAGTTGGGTTGGTAGCAAAATGAAGTGTGATTACAGGTGGTGGGAACACTTTTAAGAGAGGGGACTCAAAAAAGGGTGGATGACAAAGACAAACTGTGGTGTACTCATTGCCAGAAACCCCGACACACTCGAAATACATGCTAGGATCTCCATGGGAAGCCAAAATGGGCTCAAGATTTGAATAACAAACAAGGTTCAAATCTGAACAAAAAGTCAGGACAGTGAAGTACAAGAAAGAACACTATGGCAAATATGGCCTCTCAAGAAAATCAGCCCCCCATAAATACTGTGACACCGACTCACGTCTCTGGATCTGACCCAAGGGAGGATATTATTAATTCCTTCCGTGACCATTTAGAGCTCTATGGTAAAGAAATTCTTTAGATGGATGCTCCTTCCTCAACGTCATTTGCGTCTACATCAGGTAACTCTACCACAGCCTTCCATGTTGCATCTCATACCCCTAACACTCCTTGGATCATTGATTCTGGAGCGTCTACACACATTGACTGGTACGTCCTCTTACTTTCAAACCTATCACCTCCTTTTTGGAAGAGACAAAGTGAGACTAGCTAATGGATCATATACTACCATAGCTGGTCAAGGAACCATTTCTCTTCCTTTTGGCCTTACACTCTGATGTTTTACATGTCCCGAAATTTCCCATTAATTTGGCCTCTACTAGTAGTATTACAAATTCCTTAAACTGCTCAGTTACCTTTTTCCCTTCTTACTGTGTGATCCAGGATCTGGCCTCGGGGAAGACGATTGGTAGAGGATGTATAGTGGATGGACTTTACATGCTGGAGAATAAGGTTGGTCTTCAAGTCACAGAGTCTAAGAGTCTATCCTATAAGAGTCAAGTCTATTTATGGCATTGTCGTCTTGGTCATTTATCTTTTGAGTCTTTAAAAGTGGTGTTTCCAGAATTGTTTAAGTCAGTGTCAGTTTCAGACTTTTCTTGTCAAACTTGTCAATTGAGTAAGCAATGTAGAACTCATTTTCCTTCAAAGAATAATAAATCTAAATTTCCTTTTCACATCGTTCATTATGATGTGTGGGGCCCGGTTACTTTACCATCTGAGAGTGGCTACAAGTATTTTATTACCATTATTGATGATTATTCTAGATATACATGGGTATATCCCATGCAGACAAGGGATGAAGTACCAAAAATTATCCAAGACTTTCAGGGGATGATCTTCACCCAATTTCACACTGAAATCCAAATTTTTCAATCAGATAATGCCAAAGAGTATTTTCATAGTGATCTCACGGAATTTTTTGTTTTACGTGGTTCACTTCACCGTAGCTCTTGTGCCCGAACACCACAAAAAAATGGTGTTGCCGAAAGAAAAAACTAACACCTCCTTGAAGTGGCTCGGGGTTTACTAATCCATATGAACGTCCCAAAATGATTTTGGCTTGAGGTTGTCCTTTGTGCTACCTATCTCATCAACCATATGCCCTCTCGTTGGTTAGAGTGCAAAGCCCCACATCAGCTTCTTTTTCCTAAGGCTCCCCTTCTTTCCATTCCTCTTCGTGTGTTTGGTTGTCGTTGTTTTTGTCCAAAATCTGTCACCCACTCGTGGAAAATTAGACCCTCCTGCTATTCCTTGCATCTTCCTGGGGTATTCTTTCACTCAGAAGGGATACCGTTGTTTTGATCCTGTTTCTCGGAAGTTTTATGTTTCCATGGACGTCTCTTTCTTTGAGAGTGAGCCTTTTTTCCCAGTTTCTCTTCAGGGGGAGTGTAGGAATGAGGAGAAACTGGTTCAGCTCCCTCCTCTTCCTAATCCTCCTCATTTTCGTGTCTTCTTTCGTCGTCACAAAGGCCAACCAAGTTCAAGAACTGTGGAGAACCTAGAAGTTGTACCTCCAATGCCGTCAAACTCCCCGGGGGCAGATCATACTCGCTCAGGTATCTTGGTTCCTATAGATGTCCCTGACCCTATTGCTATCGATACCTCTGTTGCTAATGACCTTGACCTTCCTATTGCTCACAAGAAAGGTGTTAGATCTTGCACCACTAAACAACCCATTTCTCATTTTGTTTCCTATGAAAACATTTCACCCTCTTTTCGGGCCTTTCTCACATCCATTAGCAGTGTTCCTATCCCTAAGAATGTGGTAGAAGCTCTTTCAGTACCTAAATGGACAGATGCTATGAAGGAAGAAATTAATGCTCTACATAAAAATGGCACATGAGAACTATTAGATTTAAGGTAAAGGATCCAGTTGGATGTAAATGAGTGTTCACAATCAAACATAAGGCTAATGGCACTGTGGAGAGGTATAAAGTTCGTTTAGTGGCAAAGGGGTTTACACAAGTGTATGGAGTTGATTATGCAGAGACTTTTAAACCCGTTGCCAAGATGAACTCCATTAGAGTCCTGTTCTCCTTTGCCGGTAATCTTGACTGAGATCTACATCAGCTTGATATCAAGAATGCATTCCTGAATGGTGACCTTGAAGAGGAAGTTTACATGGTACAACCCCCTGGTTTTCGGGTTCAAGGCAATGAACAGAAAGTGTGCAGGTTGAAGAAGTCCTTATATGGGCTGAAACAATCACCGAGAGCCTGGTTCAGCAAGTTCCATGTAGCGGTTCATCAGAAAGGATACAAGCAATGTCAATCTGATCACACATTGTTTGTGAAAAGAGAAAAGGGAAAATTGCTGCTCTGATAGTATATGTTGATGATATAATTATCACTGGCGGTTGGAAGGATGAAATCCAAAAGTTGAACATTTTTCTTGCTACACAATTTGAAGTAAAGGATCTAGGTCCTCTAAGATACTTTCTTGGAATTGAAGTTGCCTGCTCACAAAAGGGTATCTTCATTTCCCAAAGGAAGTATGTCCTAGATCTACTCTAGGATATAGGAAAATTGGGAGTGAAGCCAGTTGATTCCCCTATTGATCCTAACCACAAATTAGGTGACTGCCAAGGTGAACCTATCAAGGATGTGAAACAGTTTCAGAGACTTATAGGAAGATTGTTATATCTTTTTATGACCCGCCCCGACATTGCTTATGCAGTTGGTGTTCTTAGCCAGTTCATGCATGCTCCCAAGACCACTCACCTTGAAGCAGCAGAAAGAGTTCTCAGATATCTTAAGAAGCTCCCAGGCGCTGGTTTGTTGTTTCAAAAGCACGAACGTCTGAAAGTTGAAGTGTACACTAATGCAGATTAGGCAGGATCCCTAAATGACAGAAAGTCAACTAGTGGCTACTGTGCCTTCATAGGAGGAAACCTAGTTACCTGGAGAAGCAAAAAGCAGAATGTGGTAGCTAGATCCAGTGTTGAAGCTGAATATTGGGCAATGGCTCATGGAGTGGCTGAAAATATGTGAATAAAGAATCTGTTGAGTGAGTTGGGTTTTCTAGTGAACAAACCTAAGACCCTATTCTGTGATAACAAAGTAGTCATAAACATTGTTGTTAATTCAGTGTTGCATGATAGAACTAAACACATCGAAGTCGACAAACACTTTATTAGAGAGAAAGTTATCACAGGGGAAGTGTGTACTCCTTATGTCAACTCTGAGGATCAACTTGCAAACATCTTTACAAAAGGGCTACACCATTCACGACATTATGATTTATGTGACAAGTTGGGCATGATTGACATCTATGTCCCAACTTGAGGGAGAGTGTTGAAAGCGTGTATTTTCCTAAGTATAGTACCGCAGGGGTACTATTGTACTTTTACCCTTTCATTTTTTAGTTGTTGTCGTTCTAGTATATATAACAAAATAGTTGGCGCCACCAGCATGCTTTTTGACTCTCAATCTTTTCTCCTCTCTTCTGCTCTCTCTTCTCTCTCTCCTCTCTCTTCTCCTCTTCTCTTCCATCACTGCACTGATAACAGCAGACAAGGGAGTGATCTAGAGACTTTTGGGGGAAGTTACCATATCTTTGTATGACATGGCCAAAAAATTCATATGATGTCAATGTGATTAGTTAGTTTATCCATGGCCCTAGAGACACAGATATGGCTGTTGTAGAATAGGTTTTGTGTTACTTGAAGGGAACTCTAGGAAAGGGTATTTTTTTCTCTAAGCATGGACACATAAAGTTAGAGGCTTATACATATGCCCATTGGGCTGATAGTATTGATGGTAGAAGATCTACATCTGGTTACCATGCTCTGGTAGCAAGGAATATTGTCTCTTGGAGAAGAAAGAAGCAGCCTATGTAGCTAGATCTTCAGCTAAGGTGGAGTATAGGGCCATGGCCCATGGAGTTTTGGAGTTGTTATGTGTCACTTCTAGAGGAGATAGGCATTGCATATGATAAGCCCTTGATGTTGTACTATGATAATCAGGCTACAATTAACATAGCTCAGAACCCAGTTCAGCATGATAGAATAAAACACATTGAAGTAAAAAGACATTTCATAAGAGAAAGAGTGGCATCAGGAGAAGTTTGCCTTCCTTTCATTGCCTCAAAGCAAAAATTAGCAAATGTTTTGACCAAGGGTGTCCCTAAGTTAAGGTTACAACACTATGTAAGCAAGTTGGGCATAACTGATGTCTATGCTTAGCTTGAGGGGGAGTGAAGAGATGATGGGCCAAATGGACCACAATTCCTTTCTTTTAGTCGGAGCACCATTTATGACTTATGTTTGTTATTAAAGGGCCTTAGCTATAGGCCTATTTCACTTTTCTTATTACTTTTATTGAGTTGGCCTCCCTACTAAGGGTACTCATGTTTGTTATTAGCACCATTGATTGTATTCACATTACAATCAATGTCTAAAGAAAGATGATTTAGGGGACTAGAGAGAGGTTCGATTGACTTTCTTCTTCCTTCCCTTTCTTCCTTTCTCTTGTTCTTCTTCTTCTAAATTTTCTCTATTCCATCTTCTTCCTTTTCTATTTTATTCCTAGATTTATATAGGTGGGATTTACAACTACTACAACAGCAAGGTTAATGTTAAAAACATGCATTTGTACGTGAAATACTACCATGTCAGCCTCCTTACCTGCTGAACTGCTCAATGGAAACAATAGCAGTTAAAGAAAGATTTCCTTTTGGTGTTCTTCTCTCAATAGTTTGCTCTGCAATAAAGATTTCTTCAATTTCTTCAGAATCCATTGCATTTTTAATATCAGGTTTTCTGACCTGCCTTGTTCGAACAATTGGATGAGCAACACCATTCAAAAAGCTTTGGGTCTTTAGCAGCCACAAATTTAATCTTTCTGGAACTGCATTTGTCAAGAAGTCGAACAAATGATAAGGCCATTAAACAATGTCAATTATGCTCAAGAGATTCCATGAACTTTAGTACAAAAGGATTACAAATCAACAAGGTTATGATGCAAACTTATCTTTTATACTGAGATATCCGCACGCTAGCTATGTGAGCTGAACAAGATATGTCCTAAGGTGTCTATATCTCATAACAGCAACTCATAGATGTATATTTCTTTTGTTTTTATTTCTTCCAATTTGATACCTTATCACATTTTTTAACTATCTATTTTTATGTTTTGATTTGATACGTTATGTATGTATGTGATTCTAACAAAGCAAGAACTAAAAGTTAGATGGGTAGTATTACAATTTCTTTTCTTTTTATTTGATCAAGCATATATACATAGACATAAATATGTATCTACATATATATTAATTTTTGTCAGAAATTATAAAAAAAATATGCACGCCTTTTATACATATATTATACATGAAAAAGAAAACAATGATGGTTAGTGGTTGAAAGAAAAATGAAAGAATTCTTATTGAAAAGGATGAAAAGAAGAGTTTAAATTCCAAATGCTAAAATGGGAGGAGATATGTGCTCCTAGGAAGAATGGAGACTTGGGTATGAGAAGGATGAAGTTGGTAAATACAGCTCTGCTTGGCAAGTGGTTTTGGAGGTTCCTATCACAGATGAATAGTTTATGGAGACAAATTATGGCAGTGACATATGGTACAAGGAATTTAGAGTAGGACCTGTTAAACTATATGATATTAAGTAATACTAGGCGTAGGGGTATATGTGTCATTTTACTTTTATTATGATTGCCCTATAAATAATGACAGTTTGGGTGTCTCCACTTTGTTCTGTCTTCTCTTTTCTTATTCTCTTATGTCTTCTGTGGAAGACATCCTGGTATCAGAGCATATTCTGCCATAGAAAATACTTCTTTTCTATTTCTTTCTCTCCTTTTCTTCTCTCAAGAACAGATTTGGTTGGAGTAGACTGAAAGTTAACTTTTCTTGACTGATCACACAAAAGAATGTTTCTTTTCTCTATGTTTTTGCTGGTCGTGTGACCTAGGAATTTATTTTACGTAATCTGTTGGATGGTGGTGCAAAGAGGCTGTTAGCAGTGCTTGGACCATGAAAGAATGAAGTGGGACACAAGGGGTTCCAAACCAAGGACTTGGGGTAGTTGAAGTATTTCTTGGGAATTGAACTGGAAAGATCAAGGTGGTGTATTTCTATGTCACAGCAAAAATATTTTCTTGATTTTCTGGATGAGGCAGCATGGCTAGGAGTCAAACCAGCTGAAACTCCTATGGACCCAAAATGTTAAAATGACTGATGATCAAGGGAGAACAGGTTTTTTGGTGTCCTACTTCAAGACGGCCATTACTTGATAGGGAATTGGAAGAATACTTTTTTCTATTTTCTAAACCAAAAGCATGAAGTTTAAAGACAATGAAGCAGATGTAAGGTAGTGGAAAAAATGTGTGGATGGGAAATCCACTATCAAATCTTTCTTTAATGATTTAATCATTCATCAGATGCATAGCTCTGAAAGACTTGGAGTTTGGGGATATCCTTTGCTACCAATGCTGGAGGCGTTTGCATGGTTTTTATTCTTGGACAGAATTCTTACACTGGATCACCCAAAAGCAAAGGGATTTCAGAACCTAGCATCTTTTGTGTGGAAGAAGAAAGAAGAAAATGTGCAACATCTGTCCATTCACCGCATGCAGTTATACAAAGTACATCTCATCATTATTTTTCTCTTTGTTCAGCATTGGAAGGGTGTTCCCTTCATCGGTGAAAGAAATTTTCTCCAACTGCCAAGCATAGGAGGAGAAAAGAGGGCAAAAATCATTTGGGGTTTAATCCCATTTGCAGTGTGTAGGGGTATATGAAAACAAGGAAATATCCAGAAACAAGATGATTGGAGATATATATTTCCTAATCATGGGCTGGTCATTATCTCGTTCTGAATCCAGGGGTGTAAAAGGAGTACTTTTGGGTTCCCGGGGGGGCAGGGGGTTGAAAATTCTTTGCCTGAGGTACTGTAATCCTGTTCTGTTTTAATAAAATTTTCTTCTTTACCATCAAAAAAAAAAAAAAAACTTTCAAAAGGCATTTTAGGAGTTGTTCAGGAATTAGAAAGGGAATCATTTTCCTTCTAATCTACCCTTATATTAAAAGGAGAAAAGAGATCATTCCTGAACAAGCTCTGCATGTCAGCAGGAAGCTAAAACCATGTACTGAAAAGGATAATGAAATGATTCCAGATAAATTGATGAAGTGATTAGTAAATTCATCATTAGATTTCACAAGAAACACATGTGGGAGGCCAGTTTCCAGGTCTGTTGCCTTTGCTGAAGAATGTCATAACTATTAATCTACATATGCACCACCTCCCAACAAATGCCCTGATTATTCGAACAATGTAAACCTGGCTGTAACTTTGATTAGAAAATAATCTCGTTAAAGGTATTATAATTGGCAATACAAAAAAGAGGAACAAACTAGCATAGGATGTAAGTCCCCTTACCATAATTCCTCCAAAAATCTAAGCCTTCTCCAATATGTTCATAACTGTCGTATTAAGAAAATGAAACATAGCAACAATGGATTTTTGAAGGACAATTTAAAGTGACCCTACCAGCTAATTTAGAATCACGAGCATTGCATTCATAACTGTTGTATTAACAAAATGAAATATGGAACAATGAATTTTTGAAGGACAATTTGAAGTGATGCTACCAGCTAATTTAGAATCACAAGCATTGCATGCATGCCATACTTGCTTCTGGTGAGGGAATGCCAAAAGCTTTGAGACACTTCCCTTGATCTCCACAACCAATTTCCAGGCAAACAAGTATTAATAAACTTGGCCTACCAATACCTAAACCGACTTCCTGCTTTACCAATAGTTTCCCAGTTCATAAGGTAGTCGTCCTTCATAGAGTATCTCAGCTCCCACAATAAAAAAAAAAAAAAGAAAAACTATAAACACCAAGGAAAAGTGGACCAACAGGTTAGAAAAAATAGATTTAATCAAAGTTATCATGCCTCCCAGCAAGATATGACTCTTTTTCAAGAATCCCTCAGCAAAAATGTTACGACTTACAAGAATCAATTAACCTGATATCCCCACTGCAACATGGCTTCCTTCCATAACACAGTTACTTTTCATGGGAACTTGTAGATCACATCCCCTAAAATATCTACAAGTCATACTTGAAGTATTGATGGATAACCACCCAACACTAATTGTATCCTCTAAATTCTATTCGGGCATTAGTTTAAATCATTTCAACAGCTAGTTCTCCTGTTAACAGATCTATGACATTATCATTTAAGTGCTCTATGTACACGAATACAGTCTGGAGTCTAGAATGCCTCTCCACCTCCAAGACTTACTAGATTACTCAAGGACTTTACCCTCATGAAKCTATTCTTATCTTGGGCGTGTTCATCCATTCAAATACCTCTACATAATAAAAGTATAAAATTAAAGCCATTACCCAATGTTGGTCCCAACTATCT